TTTACATTCAAAGAGTCAATCAACATTTCGGTTTCATATCCAATAAGAAAATACCCACAAATTTTTATGTTTCAGTTCAAAGAGTCAATCATCAACTCGATTCTCCACAAAAATCACAATTTTTATATATGTTTCTGTTCAAACCAGTAATCCTAATAGAAGTCGCAAGTTATACCCAAATCGGGATGCAAACAATTTTCAATATGCATCTAAACAATTTTTATATATGTTTCTGAAACAAAGTCGTAAGTTATCCCCAATCCTTATTTTTTAGATCTACTAACAAAATAACCTAATTAACAACCAAACAAAGGGAAACTATTCACTTACCAGAAGAAACGGAGATGGAGACTCGATTCGGCGGAGAAGGAAGCAGAAACAAAGCGGTTCTCAACTCTAGGGTTATGTTTAATTCGGCGGAGAACAGAGAAAAGAGAGAGTTAAGACACGAGAAATAAGAGGGAGAGATTGATGGATTCTTGAATTCGATGGAGGACGAACGCAACCGACGGAGGCTAGGGTTTCAGAATCGCCATAGATGGAGATGAGTTCGTCGAGAGGAAGAGAGAGGAGAAGGAGAGTCGAAGTGTTTTGGTTTAAGTCCAAAACGCAGTGTTTTGGTTTAAGAATCGGGTTGTGCCCAATTGGATTTAGGTGGGTCGGATATCTATGGTTGGATCTGTAATTACTTGATTTTCTTAGGGTTACATATGTATTTGTCTTGATTTCGTATTTAAAAATAAATAAAAATATATATATATTTTATTAGTGGGAGAATTGAGTACTTTTTATGAGTGAAAGGGGCATTTGGAGTTAGTCTCCACTAAATTCTCATTAATTATTTCCCCCATAAATAACCCTAAAGAAAACGAACCTCTTGCAATTTTGTTACTTAGTTGTTCTTGAGAAGCTCGAGAGGAGGAAAACAATGGATATGCAGGCAGATATCGAGAGATTGATGTTCTTCGAACATGCTCGGAAAGCAGCAGAAGCTACTTACATCAAAAACCCTTTAGATGCCGAGGTTCGTATTTCTCTCTCTAATCTCTTTGATTCGTTTTTGATTGGTTCCAAAAGAAAACTTGATAAAGTCTCCACCTTTTTTCTGCAGAACTTGACGAGATGGGGAGGAGCTTTATTAGAACTTTCCCAGTTTCAGAACCCCGCAGCTTCAAAGCAAATGCTTCTTGGTGAGATATTCAGATTTTAATTAATTAGTACTGTTTTTTTAATGATAATAGTTCACATGGTTTGTGTGTAAAGATGCTATTTCGAAGCTGGAAGAGTCGTTGTCAATAGATCCAAAGAATCCCGGTACGCTTTGGTTCATTGGGAATGCTCACACTTCATATGGCTTAATGATTCCTGATGAAACCCTCGCTGCGAATCACTTTCAGAAAGCTGCTCACTACTTTGAACAAGCTCTTGAAGATGTAATACTATTGTGTGTGGTGTGTTCTGTAATGTGAGAATAATATGTACAATTTATTTATCTTTTATTTTTTGTCTAGGAACCCGAGAACGAACTCTACCGGAAATCTTTGGAGCTGACTTCTAAGGTATATCTTCTGATCCCAACTTTATACAGTATAAGTAGATGTTGTTCTAGTTATAGGAGTTTGCTAGTGGTTTGGACTCTCAATAGTTGATATGAAGCTTTGGTTTTTGGTGACCAACACGTTTGCTGTAATAAACTGTAGGCTCCAGAGCTGCATAAAGCGGCTCATAGCCAGGGTTTAGGCCCACAGGCGTTAGGCGGTGTCGCTGGACCATCATCCACTGCCTCAACTTCAAAGGTCCTTTCTTTTTACTCAAATATGCAATTTGGGTTTTTTTGATGAAATCTAAAACTAACGTTTGTGTTTTTTTCTCTGGCAGACTGTGAAGAAAAAGAAGAACAGTGATTTCAAGTATGATGTACTGGGATGGGTCATCTTAGCCGCTGGAATTGCTACATGGATCAGTTTTGCTAAATCTCAGATGCCTCCACCCAGGCAGTAACATCCACACACATCCAAGAGTCTAAAGAGCAGAAACCTTTTTTTCTTTCTAAAATCATTTGAGAGAGAGAGTTTTGCATTGTATAACAACTCTGAAAACAGTTTCATGATACGTGCACTAGAATGAATCAGTGAAGACCATAGTTAAGTCACCTAACTCAGAAGAGTACTTTTCATGATCATCTGAGATTGTTTCTCCACCGTTTTGCCTGATTTGCTTGTGGTGCGATCATTTGGTTAACTCCATTTGCTTTAGGTTTTGATTTTAAGTCGTTGCTCTTTTCTTTTAAAGCTTATGTTCTGTTTTGCCTTATTTCTCATCATCAAAAATAGATAGACAAAACTATTTTCAGGGTTACTAAAACTTAATTGAAAGAAGAAGATCAAGACACCATGTTTCTTTGTTTGACTTTGGTAATGGATTTCACTGATAAAAAAAAAAAAAACATTCTAATCTTTTTTCAACTTTTTCCGTTTAAAAAAAAATGTCTTATTCGTGAAAATCTTTTAAACTTATTTGTCACAGAACTCGTGAGCAAAACAGGGACATGAGGAGCTTGGCAGAACAACAACGGGTAGCTTTTTGTATAACATCTGAAAAATTGTTCACGTTGAAGTGCTATTGTTGAAGTTGCAAGCAGAGCCAGCCGTCTATTTAATGTTTTGGTGATAGTTATAAAGTTTGATGCTATTTTACAGAGATAAAAAAGATGCTGAGCAGGCATTCATTGACCTGCAAGGCTGCAAGTCATGGGACACATGCAAGAAGGGTAAGATCCTGATATGAAGGAGATAGTAGAGGAGCCAGAAGAATATACCAATTACCAAGAGTAGATCTATCAACATGGCTATACACTGACTGGATGCGTGAACACATAACAAACTTTTTTGCAGGAGTTGCTGAATTAAAAAGATGAGAAGCTGCAAGAAGTGAGGAAAGAGATTGGTGAAGAAGTGTGTGATAATATTATAAGTAAAAATTATGTGTAGTAGATGTGTCGTGCTTGTGTAATCACTATTCTATCCTCGTTGACAGCTCACTTTTATTACGGTATTTGATCATGGACTAATCTTGACCTCGCACGACCTTTAACTAATTTAATATCAACAATTCGACGTCAATCACCGCCATTCCGACAAATCTACTGGAACATCTTTCTGAGTATTTGCACAAATTTGAAGTGATTCTCAACTTAAGCTGCTAATTTTTGGGGAAAAGGAAGTAATGGAGACGGAGATCTCAGAGACATTGTTGTTCCCTGCAAGGAATCAAGACGAAGAAGATGTTCCTCACTGGAAGGATCAGATCACGAGGCGAGGCTTAATCGCTAGCGCCTTGTTAGGGATCTTGTTCTGTATCATTACCCATAAGCTTAATCTCACTGTCGGAATCATTCCTTCGCTAAACGTAGCTGCTGGTCTTCTCGGTTTCTTCTCTGTCAAGTCATGGAATAGCTTCTTGTCGAAACTAGGGTTTTCAGTTAAACCCTTCACCAAGCAAGAGAACACCGTTATTCAGACTTGCGTTGTCGCTTGCTACGGCCTCGCTTATAGCGGTAAAAAAATGAGATTTATATCTCCTTTCACACCCTAAGCTGTTTTTAAGATCCAATCTTGATTATTTGTGTGTGATTTTATAATAAGCTCCCAGGTTTGATGTCTATGTGACTAGAATTATATGGATTAGTCATTTGATAGAGTTTCTAATTCTTAACTGTGTTGTTTCAGGAGGATTTGGTTCGTATTTGATTGCTATGGATGAGAGGACATACAAGCTCATTGGTGCTGATCGTCCCGGAAACTATCCTGAAGATGTTATAAATCCTGGACTATGGTGGATGATTGTATTCTTATTTGCTGTCAGCTTCCTCGGCCTCTTCAGCCTCGTTCCACTTCGAAAGGTTTGTCTCACTAATACAGAGAAGAGCTTTCTTAGATCTTTGTGATCCTTATTCACAAGTGTTATCTGGTCTCAGGTAATGATTTTGGACTACAAGCTTACGTATCCCAGTGGAACCGCTACGGCAATGCTGATTAACAGTTTTCACGACAACTCTGGAGCCGAGCTTGCAGAGTAATTTTCAGAGATATCATCTTCAATCTCACTACCTTTTTTCTTTTTTTGGAACACACTAATGTTTGTCTCTAATATTATTGTTTATTTCAGAAACCAAGTTAAATGTCTTGGGAAGTATCTCAGCCTTAGCTTTGTTTGGAGTTGCTTCAAGTGGTTCTTTAGTGGTATTGGAGATGCATGTGGGTTTGATAACTTTCCCACACTTGGTTTGACGCTATTCAAGAACACGTAAGTTTTCTGTTAACAACTTCAATGATTAGCATGTGTTGGACTTGAACCAACAAATTGGTAACGAGTTATCAATGACTTTTTGCAGGTTTTACTTTGATTTCAGTCCTACTTTTATTGGATGTGGTCTGATATGTCCCCATTTAGTGAACTGCTCAGTTCTTCTGGGCGCTATCATTTCTTGGGGCTTTCTCTGGCCCTTCATATCACACCATGCTGGAGACTGGTATCCATCTGACCTTGAGACCAACGATTTTAAAGGTCTCTACGGATATAAGGTAACGGTAATAAATCTCATATATATACTTTCTTTACCCATGCTTTTTCATATTATTACCACATTTTATAGGTCTTTATCCCCATTGCTATCATCCTTGGTGACGGTCTCTACAACCTCATCAAAATCACTATTGTCACTATGAAGGAACTCTGCAACAAACAACAACATCTACCTGTCTTTACCGACATTCTAGGTGTGAAGGACATATCTATTAAATTTTTAAGTCATAGTCATTCTCAAACATATTCTTAAACAGTTTCTTGATTCAGATGAGAGTAGTGAGCCCTCAGAATTACTGCTGGAGAAGAAGAAAAGAGATGAAGTGTTTCTCAAGGACCATATACCCCTCGGTTTCGCGGTTTCTGGTTATGTATGTCTAGCAGCCATTTCGACCGCAACCATACCATTTATATTCCCACCTTTGAAATGGTACTTTGTCCTCTGTTCATACTTGGTTGCAACTGGGCTTGCCTTTTGCAATTCTTACGGAGCAGGGCTCACTGATATGAGCCTGCCTTCGACCTACGGAAAGATCGGTCTTTTCACCATAGCTTCGGTTGTAGGAAACAGTGGTGGTGGAGTCATCGCCGGTTTATCAGCGTGTGGTGTTATGATGGCAATCGTCTCAACCGCAGCAGATCTCATGCAAGACTTTAAAACAGGTTACCTCACCTTATCATCTGCCAAGTCCATGTTTGTAACTCAGCTTTTGGGTACAGCAATGGGTTGTGTGATCGCTCCTCTCACGTTTTGGATGTTTTGGACTGCCTTTGAGGTCGGAGATCCTGATGGTCTTTACAAAGCTCCTTACGCTGTTATCTACCGGGAAATGGCTATTCTTGGGATAGAAGGATTTGCGAAACTCCCTAAACATTGTTTGGCTCTTTGTTGCGGATTCTTCGTTGCTGCTCTTATTGTTAATATTGCCAGAGATATTACACCGCCTAAGATCTCTAAGTTTATACCACTTCCCATGGCTATGGCTGCTCCATTCTATATAGGAGCCTACTTTGCCATCGACATGTTTGTTGGGACCGTGGTTTTGTTCATATGGGAACGGGTAGATAAGAAAGGTGTGGATGATTACTCGGGTGCAATAGCTTCTGGAATGATATGTGGTGATGGAATATGGACAATACCGTCTGCCATTCTTTCCATCTTAAGAATCAATCCACCCATATGTATGTACTTTAGACCATCCTAGACATTAATGTCTTTGTGCATTATGGAAAAAAAGTGTTCAGAAAAAACTTTTGAAATTAATGTTGAGGAGATGTTTATAAACTGGAGAGATGTTTATAAATTGGATCACTAATTTCTACTTGGAGTAATTTTTCATGATCGAAGGCTTTGCAATGTGTACATTTCAGTTTGGATATTTTGATACTGAAAAAATATTTTTAAGGCTGAGTTGAGTTCAATTTTATCTTGATTGGTTTGGGTAATTTGTTAGAAATTCAAAAATTTGAAGGAAATATCGAATAAAAAACTTTAAATTTTGCATGTATTAACATTTTAAACTTTGAAAGTAATATTTATGTCACAAAAAATCTTTAACTTGGTTTATTTATTCATTAAGCAAAAAATTGACATGTACAAACATATCAATGTGATGATGTATTAGTTTTATTTTAAATAATAATTATTCAATTAATAAATCAAATTTTATTATATTAAAAATCGAAAAATAAATATAAAATCAGAAAACTAACATAAAAATTTGGAAAACTAAATTAAAATTCAGAAAATAATGCAAAAATCATAAAATTAAATAAATTTTCAATAATAAATTAGATTAGTTAAAATACAAAAAATAAAATAAAATAACAAAGGTTAAATTAAAATACAGAAAATAAAATAAACTAAAGAATATTAATTAAAATACAGCAATTAAATGAAAATTCAGAAAACTAAAAAAAAATTAAAGAAAAAGCACAAAATTCAAAGTAGTTTTTTTTTTCTAATTACAAGATTTGTTTTAAAACATACTTATCATCGTTGACTATAACAATTTCAAACATATTATTGATGACAATGGTGGTTTCTCACATAACCATTATCAATGACAATGTGACATATCTCTAACGTTAGTATCATCGTTAACATATCTCTAATGATAGTTTACGATATTATCGTTAAAATTCTTGACAATATATATCATCATTAAAAATATATATCATCATTTTAGTGATAATGTCGAAAACTATCATTAAAGATATGTTAAAACGTTATAGTTAATGGTTAAGTGAGAAACCACCATCGTCATCATCAGTGATATGTTTGAAATTGTTATTGTCAACTATAAAAATCTGTTTTAAATCAAATCTTGTAATAAAAAAAAGTTATTTTGAATTTCTGTTTGGAGTAGTTTTTCATGATCGAATGCTTTGCCATTTCAGTTTCGGTTATTTTGATACTGAAAAATATTTTTAAGGCTGAGTTTAGTTCGATTTTATCTTGATTGGTTTGGGTAATTTGTTAGGAATTCAAAATTTTCACTTTTTTTCTTTGTACTGCAAAATTTGATTCTAATCCGATGTAAAAGTCAGCCAGTTGTTGTCCATTAGACCATCCACAATGGTGGATTTGTGGAGGGAGTCCTTAGCATTAAAAAAATATTTTTTTTTGTTTGAATAGTTAAGGATTTTAATTGTTTTAGGTAGGTGTATTGGTGTTACCCGAAATGGAATACTTAGGAATAAAAAAATATTAAAAATATAAATTTGGGAAAATTAATTTTTTTTATTACAATTTTTTTTTAAAAAGATACAATAACTTTTACTGATCATCATGAAATTTGTTCCAAATATTCTCAATCAAATCATTTTTGAGCTGTTGATGTATACGTTTATCGCGAAGATGAATCCGAATGCCATGCATTTCCTCGAGATTTGGAGGCATGTAGGCACTATAGACATATCGACCCTTGCACTTCTGGTGGCACCTTCTTCTTCAAATTCCGATGTGTCCGTTGACCATGTACTGTACCGTGGAGCTCGACCTTGCGTAATGTTATCAAAGACAGGAGACCGCTCTAGGACATTAATATCGTTTAAGGTACCCGGGAGACCAAAGAAAGCGTGCCAGATCCAAAGATCCTGTGAAGCAACAGCCTCTAAGACAACTGACGGTTTTCCTGATCCACATGCGTACTGCCCTTTCCAAGAAGTAGGGCAGTTCTTCCACTTCCAATGCATACAGTCAATGCTTCCTATCATCCCAGGAAATCCGCGCACCTCTCCAATATCGAGGAGTCGTTGAAGATCCTCTGGTGTGGGTCTTCGTAGATACTCTTCTCCAAATAGCTGGATTATTCCGTCAGTGAAATGTTTTAAACATGAAAGTGTCGTGCTTTCACCAAGTCGGAGATATCCGTCAACCGCGTCAGCCGCAGAACCATAAGCAAGCATTCGAATTGCTGCCGTACATTTTTGTAGGGGTGAAAGACCTAACCTCCCGGTTGCATCTCTTCTTTGTTGGAAGAATGGAAATTCTTCGGAGAGGGCATTGACAATACGCATGAATAAGTCCTTGTTCATATTGAAACGGCGTCGGAATAAATGTGCCGGAAATGTCGGCTCTTCACTGAAGTAGTCTTGCCATAGACGGTCGTGTCCGGATTCGCGGTTTCGTTCTATATAAGAATGTGGATGTGGTTGTTTTGGTTGGGCCTCCAAAATGTTGTTGTAGGTATCGTCTATCAGATCGTCGATAAGTTCGTCCAATCTTTCGCCCACTCCATCGGATAAAGATGACATTTTCGGGTTTCGGTTATTTATTTATGTTCCGTCCTGCCATTAAAAAACATCAAGTTAAATAATTGGTGCAAAAATACAAATCTATTTATAAAAAAAAAAAAAATTATAATGCAACATAATTTTAAAATGCAACATAATAGAATTTAAACTGCATGATTAATCATCTTAATGTGAAAACTTGGTCTATACAAAAAAAGAACAAAAAAAACTTGCATTATAAAAACCCGCATCGAATGTCTTCTGAACTTGCATTATAATATCGACCATATTAAAAAACTAATTTCGAGCACAAACAAATTTCGAGCACAAACGAATTTGGAATGACAAATAAAATAACTTGCATTATAAGTAAAAGAACTTGCTTTATAAGTAAAAGACATTACTCAAGTCAAACCAATTCGGCATTACTCAAGTCAAAAACATTACGCATGTCATTTTATCAAGTCTACAACGCATTACTCAAGTCAAAAACATTACGCATAACCAACAAAAGAAGTTACCGAGAATGCATTACTCAGCATTCTAATACAAGTACAAAATCCTATGACTTAGTTTGTAATAATCGATCTTGGCATCTCAAGAAACATAAAAACTTGGATTTCAATATCATTACAACAAAAGAAGTTAACAAAAGAAGTTACCGAGTTTATAGAAGCAATAGTAGTTGATTACAAGACGGGAGTAAGCCACAAACAGCCGACAAAGGAAACTAGAGATAGATTGCTTGAGTAAGAGAAAAGGAAACTAGAGATAGATGTGCTTGAATAAGAGAAAAAAGCAACTACCTAATGAGATGATACAATGGAAACTTATACTAGCTATTACAACTACCCGTGACTTCTTCTACTTTCCGAGAAAACATCTTCATTACCCGTGACCACCAATTGAAACCCGTGACTTCTTGTACCTTGTGAGAACCCGTGACTTGTTGTTCAGCAGCTACACCTGAAAGAAAACAAAAGACAAGAGTTAGTACAATACATGAAAACAAATAAAGTTGTTCAACAAAAAGACAAGCAAACAAGAGTTAGTACTTAATATCAAACCTATACTAGCATGAAACAACTTGTTACTTAATATCAAACCTATACTAGCATGAAACAACTTGTTACTAACCTAACCTAATACCTTCAAATCATCATATCATCTCAGTCATGAGTTTCACTTTAAGAGATTCTTCCACCTCCGAGAGAGGATCCTTTTTCGCAAGCAAACGTTCTAGAATCTTTTCTTTACTGATTTTATGTTTGACTTCCAAGATGGACTGAAGCTGTGACATTTCTTCTTCCTTCCCACTCTTCTTTCTCTTGCCAGCAGCCTTAGCAGCTTTGACACCTGGTGGTCTGGTTTCAGGCTCGGGAACTTCATCTTGTGTATCAACGTCGACGACTTGTTTGCGCTTCTCTTTCCCACCAATGTAGTGCACCACTTCTGGTCATGCCTAAGCTCCCTCCACGCGTGTTCAAGGCCGAACTTCATGCCGTACAATTTTGAAAACGAGTCCAGAGCCTCTTTCATCACATCGTCATCATTCTGGCCACTTCCCAGCCCCCTCAATGCCGCGTCATAACAACCAACGAACTTACATACTTGTTCATTAATCCTAGCACACCTCTGCTTCGCTGGACCAAGCTCTCTAGGTACCGTCCCAATCAGTTGAGGGATCTCATTGTAGTAATCTACAATTCTCTTCCAGAAACGGTCAGCTTTTTGGTCACAGCTCACAATGGGGTCTTTGCTGGTGTTAAGCCACGCACCGATGAGGATTTTATCCTCATTGGTAGACCATTTCCTCCTCTCTTTGCTAGCAGACCTGACAGTAGGCTCGACAGGGGACTCAACACCAGTTTGGAAAGAACACTCGACTCCCTGTTGGAAAGAAGACTCATCAGGACCTTGCCTACCGAACCAAGATGGTTCGGGGGACTCAAAATCAACTGACGCTTGATTGTACAAGAGATTAATAAAGCCATTTGGGGGGGGGGAGGTATTCATGTTTAGATTCTGGTTTGTGATACTCTATTACCAACACAAACCCTTAAGTAACCGATAGAAAGTAACTACGCATTTAGTTTTGGAGTAGTTAGGCATCAAATCTAGCATTATAAACCCTTAAGTAACCGATAGAAAGTAACTACGCAATAAGTTCTACACTAGCTACGTTTAACCTAACAAGTACTAAGGCATCAAATCTAGCATTAAAAACTCACATTTTGAAAGCAAACCAAACAAAACAAGGAGAAGATATATTATATAATCTCGGAGAAGTTCCTCACTACATAATATTACATCATATTAATATTACATCATATTAATTTTTAAAAAGACGAAAAAACTTAAAGAAAATGGTGAATAGAAGTTGTACACTAGGTACGTTTTTATTACTCAAAGTGGTTTTATTACTCAAAGTATTTTTATTACTCAAAAGTTATTTTTAATTCACGGAAATTATCTTTATAAACTAATAAATGTTTTTATTACTCAAAGTATGGTAAGAAAGAAACAAATTACCTGAGAGGCCCTTTCCAAGTTCAGACACTGATGTTCAAATCCTCCGAAACTCTTCCTTGAAAGACATAAGAAAAAGCAGTTATTAATGGCAATTGGATTGCCAAAAATATTTATCTGAAGAAAGTATAAAACTTACCAGCCTACGATGACCAGTATTAGCAAGAACAGTAGACAAACTACCTTCCCCAACCCATCCTTAACACCTGCTTTCTTCTTAGTTAACACACCCACGATTTTCTCGAGCTTAGCCACCTTCTGGTCACCCTCAAAGCATTGATCCTTGACCATCCTAAGTTGTGTCTGGGTTTCAAAAAGCTCCTCTTTGAATCGCCAAATCCCACCATTTCCAGATGTGAGTGTCTCCATCGTCAACGTTTGGGCAGTAGAAGTACCTCCTTCCTGGATCTTATGCAGTGTACGACGTCTCCACAACTGGATCACTACCGCAATAGCACACCCTCGGTATTCCTTCATCAGCCTCAGGATCCATTCTGTACTGAACCGCCGCTGCACATGTGAAGCTACTATCGCTTTCATCCGCATAGAGAGCAGCCTGTGCTTCAAGTAAGGAGTTCATTTCGAACTCCTCTGATGAAGAATGCTGCGTGTAACTATAGTCTTGTCCCATGGTCCGTTTGCCTGCAAAAAAAAACAGAAGAACACTAAATATTAAGAACACGAAGCAAAGGAAGATAGTAAAGCTTAACAACACAACTAGGCTGTTTATTAAGAACACATTTAATTAGATATATAATAAACTCAACTTATTGAAACCCTAAGCTTTCATCACAAACTGAGATCCGAGAACGAAAAGAAACCTTAACGTGTTCAAGCAGAAAACGAAAACAAATTGAGACCGAAAACATAATCGATCACAAAATCGATATGAAACCCTAAGCTTTCATCACAAACTGAAACTGAAACTGAACCCTAAGATTTCATCACCTCGACTGAAACCGAAAACAAAATCGAATTGAAACCCTAATCCTTTTAAAAAATCAAACCAAAAACGAATTCAAAACCTAATAATCTGAATCGAGCTAACTACAAAACAAATCGATTCAACCGAGATAAGAAACATAGACGGAGACGACAAAAAAAAAACTGACATAATCTCTCCTTAGATCTACCACCGAAGAACAACGAACCTAATCTCTAGATCTACCACATAAGATACACGAACCTAAAATCTATCGATAAGAATAGCACAGAAGAGGAAGATCGACGGTGGCTTCTATCGCCTTCGTCTCTCGAGCTCCGATTTTTTTTTTTCACCCCTTCGATACCAAATGAAAAATTTTCCCAACACGAGAAAACCCTATCGCGCACCGGCCCAACTACGAGGACACGTGCACGAAGGACTTCATGTTTCGGGTCCTTACAGACAGACTCAACCATACAAATCCTTCTAATTTCGAGCCCAAATCGATTTATTTTTAATCCCAAAAACGTAAGGACTTGGTCCACGTACCCCCGTTGCGGGTGGTCTTATGATGTCTCGAGTACTTGACAACACCCAAAGATGATTGTACACAATCTTTTTTTATATATAACCAAAAAATTTATACATAATTTTAAAATAGAAATATTTTACTTTGATAAAAAGAAAAATTTACATATATTTTATTAAAAATGACATTTGTGAAATCACAGAGACACATTTAGTATATATATATATATATATATATATATATATATATATATATATATATAAACTATAGAAGAAAATTGACTAGACCCATATTGAAACATTAATTGTTGCATTTTTCTCTTGGGTTTCCCTCCCATAATATATCCAGTCACTCCACTAATATCAATTTTTATTTTTCTTTTAAAAGAATTGGGAGGGAAGGGAAAGGGGAGAGAGAGACGGAGGAGAAGCGTCTGGGACACTGAAATGGCGAACGACAACAATCTATCGAGCTTGGTTCATGAACTCCGTGAACGCGTCGCAGCATCGTCGGCTAATAACCTTGGTCACGCTTACGGCGAGGACGACACTCTCGAGATTCGATTTCGGGCCGTCATCCCTAATCTCCTGAACGCATACGTCGTCCCTTCTCTCCGTAATCATCTCTCTTTCTGGAATTGTTTCTCTCGAAAGTAGAATTAGGTTAACCTCTGAAATTGATTTTCCAATTTCAGGGAGTAGGAGGGAAGTTACAGCTGTTCTGAAGCTTGTTGGTCACATAGCGAGGAATCTCTCAGGAGTTTTCTATCATGGAAATCCCGCTGCTGTCTTCCCTGTGATTGCTCATATTTTGCCATTTTTCGCTGAACCTGAATTTGTGTAAGTTGAGAATTGGCTTTAGAATGACATTAAGAGACGGTTATAATGTTTTCTCTTGTTAACCAATTGCAGTCCTGGGCATGTAGTAATACTTGACACTGTTGGATCTCTCTTGATGTTGTTGCGTTCCAACTCAAGGAAGGCCTACCGTATGTTTTTCCAGGACGCTTTGCAGGCCATTCAAGGTGAGAGAGAGTCTTCTTTAATCTTACAATGACCAACTTCTTTTACTTATACATTGCCTTTTTCTAATGTGTCCAGATATGCAACTTTTAGCTTCACTTCATTCCGATGAATCTCAAATTCCATTTAGGTGTTTCTCTATGTGCTTTTCTGGAATTTGGGGCGATTCCTGTCATCTCTGTGATCTGCCAGAGGCTAATAAGCCCACGGAGGGGGATGGTCTTGTGTTGAGTTTATTGGGAGCCCAAAGATGGCAACCTTTTGCTACTTGTGTCATTAAACTCATCTGTAAATGCTTAACTGAGGGGACACTCTACGTTGAGGGTCTCATCCATACATCGTTTGTTAAGGCTGCTTGTTCTTTAGTATGCTGTGGTGGTGCAGAATTGCAGATGGTGAGTTGATATTTTGCTCATAAGCTTTGGTTATTTGCTTTTTTCTGATTTGTTAGTGTTACTGTTACTGGTCCATTTTTTTTCTTTGAAGATGTGATGGTTTTTTGGGGGATACTAATCTGACATCTGTTTTGATATGGAAGGCATGCTTTGAACTTGCTTCCCTCGTTGGATCTATCCTTAGTTTCAATATCCTCCCTCATGTGGGTTTGATACAGTCAATCATCCTCCTTTTAAGTGCAGATGAAGAAGGACTTCCAGTGTACAGGTGTGTTACCCGACATGTCAAGATTCTGACATGATTGTGATTTAATTAATTAAAAAATTTGGATCTTTTTGTTTACCTTCTTCACATTTTTTGTGTGTAAAACAAAATCTGTAATATGTTCCTTTTTCCAGTGTTTAGGTGACTCTTTTCCTATGAAGTTTCAGATAAACGACTTACCTACCTTCATTTTAAGCCTTCAAATTCTGGGTTTGTGTTACAGGAATGCGGTTTATGATTCTACCCTTGGACGTTGCCTTGCGACAGTATATTCCAGCTGTTCTGATGTTACTGTCAAACTAACTGCAGAAAGTATAGTATTGGTCTTCCCTTATGCATTACAGAGAACAAAGAGTGAGGAGCTTAAGGTATATTTGGATCTCATACACCTCAATCTTCGATGACTTTCTCATGAATTCTTTCTATTTTCCTTTTTGCTGCTGCCCTTTCAACAAATTTTTGGGAAATCATGCTGGGTGTTTATGTATGTAGGCTTCCCTGTGCAGTGCATATGTGCGGATTGTGAAATCTTGTCCCCCTTATGTTTGGAAGCTACATTGCCTTCTAGAGTTGCTTCATCTTTCAGAACCTTGTTTTCAATTGATAGAATGTTTTCAAGCAGTTCTTGTAGTTCTTGGGCCTGATTTTGTGACAGCCAAATGTGGTAGTCATACAACAGCAGCAAGTGATAGACCTGTCCAGCATATTAACGCTGGGCAAAAAAGATATATTAAAGATGAAACTACCCACATAAGGAAGCGCCAGAAAGTTAGTGTTGATACTCAAGAAGGGGTGTACGTTGCTCCTGAAATTACTGATGAGACTGATGGAAAGGATGCTGCCAATCTACATAAGATGCTTATTTCAGCTGTAGAATCTTTAAAGCCTCCACCTGCTGATCCTAGTCTATTACGGCCTGAAATTTCGATAATGGCACTTAGCATTCTCACCAGTGCATTTTGTTTGTGTCCCTGGACTGGAATGACTTCCCGCTTGTTTCGCCAGCTGTATGCCTGGATACCCTGGATAGCTGAGCAGGTAACCAGAAACTACCCAATCACTTTTCTTATTGTAAAGTTTTCAGTTCAGTTTTTTTTTTTAAATAAATATCCGTATGTAGGTTGAGAACAGAAATCCTATCATCTTCGATATCTCTCTTTACTTGGAAGGAATACACAATATGCTACTCGTGCTTGGTAACGTTCCTTGTTCATGAAGTCTGACATTTCCTTTGCTTTATACAAGTTTTGGATCCAGCATTTCTTCATGTGTTCTCCTTTCATCAGATTTGGATTTACAACATGAATATACAAGTAAAGAGAATAATTTGGATGCGATGCAAGCCTTGCTGAAGCTTCCTTGGACGCACTTTCAGCTGTTTGAGAGGCCTGGTTCTCTACGAAAGGCTAAGTGCTTATCTGTGGGGATATGGACGAAGCTTGGAATACAATCCGGGAGTGGTTTTGATATATTCAGTGTGGCTCTTTCAGATGATTCCGAACAAGTGCGAGCTGTCGCTGTTATCTCCATGCCACTTAAAGTTCTTTTCACTGGTCTTGATGCCCTTCCTCATATATTCCGAAGGCTGGAGTAAGTTGATGACTTTACTAATCGGAAATTTTTTTATTGACGAGCCAATATGCTACAAGAATTATTCAATTATTCAATTCAGTTGGGAAAAAATGAGATTATAATCTAAGTTCATATTGCTCTTTTTGCTCAAGGTTCTTTTAAAACGTAACTTAACTGTTCTTTTGGCTTACATTTGCAGGCATTTGTTGAAAGAAGAGCATTTGATGGTTAAGAAAACCATTCCTCAGTCTCTTGGCTTTTTATCGTGCCTGTATGGATCAAGTACAACTGGCCTAGAAAAAACTGCATGCCATTTATTCCTACATGAATATATAAAGAAAGATGAGACTCTGAACTGTCTAATTCAAGGGTTCCAGTGTTCAAAGTGTGATAAACTTATCGAAAGCAAAGATGAGAAGCATTTCAGAATCATAAAGACTCCGGAGATGGGAGATTTAGAGAAGGGTCATCATAGTGATTACGCTAACCTTCAATCCTTATATTTTAACCTTCTATATGATGAGTCTTCTGGAGAGACTCAACTAGCCTGTGTCGAAGTAATACAAAGAGTTCTTGGTCACAC